GAGACGTAACAGTCCTAAAAGCGTTCATTTTTCATATTTCTTTTTACTGTTCGTCCTAAGACTTCGTTTTTCTTGTTTCTTTTTACTGTTAGTCTTAAGGAGTTTTTTTTTCTTGTTTCTGTTACTGTTAGTCCTAAGGCGTATGTTTTTTTACTGTAGTCCTAAGGAGTGTTATCCTGTTTCTTCTTATTGTTAGTCCTAAGACTTTCTTTTGTTTATTTTTACTGTTATTCTTCAGGCATATTTGTTTCTTTTTTCTGTTAGTTCTAAGGCGCAATTTTTTCGTGTTTCTTTTCACTGTTAGTCCAAACGCGTATTTTTTCTTGTTTCTTGTTCTTTTAGTTCTAAGGCGTAATTGTTTTCGTATTTCTTTTCTCTGTTAGCTTTTTTTACTGTAATCCTAAGGAGTTTTATCTTGTTTCTTCTTATTGTTAGTCCTAAGACTTTCTTTTTTTTTCCTTATTACTGTTATTCTTAAGGTATATTTGTTTGTTGTTGTTTTTTACTGTTAGGCCTAGGGCGGTTGTTTTTCTTGTTTCTTTTTACTGTTCGTCCTAATACTTCGGTTTTCTTGTTTCTTTTTACTGTTAGTCCTAAGGCGTAATTTTTTACTGTAGTCCTAATGAGTTTTAACTTGTTTCTTCTTATTGTTAGTCCTAAGACTTGTTTTTACTGTTATTCTTCAGGCATATTTGTTTCTTTTCCCTGTTAGTTCTAATGCGTAAATTTCGTGTTTCTTTTCACTGTTACTCCTGACGCGTATTTTTTCTTATTTCTTTTTCTGTTAGTTCTAAGGCGTAATTTTTTTCGTATTTCTTTTCTCTGTTTGTCTTAACTCGTATTTTTTCTTGTTTCTTTTTACTGTTGCATTTCTTTAAAAATGTGCATACAGAATGTACCTTAGGAGATTCTAATCCAAGAAGTCAGTAATTCTAGCTTTTTATCTGTCTTAGGTTCGGCTATAATTGGCCATTTTTATACTTTGGATTGTAATTCACGATTTACTTTCTATACTAGTCCATAGTATTCATCTTTTGTTCTCTTTTTAATTCTATTTCAGATGTTGCACCAACCTTAACTTCTAGTTTTCAAGATAAAACTGTTCATCCGGGTACATCAGTATATCTTACCTGCACAGCCACAGCTAATCCAATTCCAAACATCACGTGGTTTGTGGATAAGCAGCCTGTTCATGACACCTACCGAATATCTCTGAGTAGCCACATGTTTATTGAAGATAGCATAGTGGGCCAAATTAATATAACAGACACGAGAGTGGAAGACGGTGGAAGATACACCTGTATTTTTTCGAATGGGGTCGGCTCGGTTGAACACTCGAATAGGCTTAACGTCCACGGTCCTCCTTTTATCAGACCTATGTGGAATATGACTGTGGTATCCAGTCATACTATCGTACTCAGATGTCCATATGGAGGATTTCCAGTGGATAGAATCACCTGGGAAAGAGGTGAGAATAGCCATAAAGGGTAGACCTAGCTTTTTTGTAACTCTACGAATTGCAGTTACCAACCTGTTTCTATAACATCTCTTTATTTCATTTTCTTATCTTTTTATGTTACATTTCTCTAGCCGTATGCTAAATTTATATAATTGTATGTTACATTTCTCTAGCTTAATGTTACATTTATATAGTAGTATGTTACATTTCTCTAGCTTTATGTTATATTTATATAGTAGTATGCTGCATTTCTCTAGCTGTATGTTACATTCATATATTTGTATGTTACACTTCTCTAGCTTTATGTTACATTTATATAGTAGTATGTTACATTTCTCTAGCTGTATGTTACATTTATATAGTAGTATGTTACATTTTTCTAGCTGTATGTTACATTTATATAATTGTATGTTACATTTATATAGTAGTATGTTACACATTTATATAATTGTATGTTACATTTATATAGTAGTATGTTACATTTTTCTAGCAGTAAGAATCGTTTCTCTAGCTGTATGCTATATTTACCTAGTTTGTATTTCAAGCAATTATAAACTGATAACGTATGGACTATAGTAGTCAGATTTGCTTTTATAGATACATACTTTGATAACCAAGTCAAATGTTTTAAGATGTACGTTGTAACACTTTACTCTGAGAAGTCAGATGTTTTAAGATGTACGTTGTAACACTCTACTCTGAGAAGTCAGATGTTTTAAAATGTACTTTAACACTCTACTCTGAGAAGTCAGATGTTTTAAGATTTACGTTGTAACACTCTACTCTGAGAAGTCAGATGTTTTAAGATGTACGTTTTAACACTCTACTCTGAGAAGTCAGATGTTTTAAGATGTACGTTTTAACACTCTACTCTGAGAAGTCAGATGTTTTAAGATGTACGTTTTAACACTCTACTCTGTTACGTAGGTTCAAAAAATCAATCACAAAACCCTATAACCCGAGCACTTTCAAGAAGTGGACCTTTCTTAATCAGTTTGCCCCTAATGAATGAAATGTCCACTTCTCCAAAGTCCTCGAATGATAGACTTTTTGTATCTTTTCTTTTGTCTTCATTAGATTTTTTCTGAGGATGCTTTTTGTAACTGCTGCCGATCAGTCTGTTTACATTTCATGTTTTATGCTATTTTTTAGGTTCACCTTTTTTTGGGAATTTTTGTGTAGCGAGATTATAATGCCATTATTCAAGGCAATTATATGAGAAATCAACAATTTTTTTTGGTAACAAAGAACTAATCTCATTTGTTTTACTTTACTTTTACATTCAAGGCAGACTTAGTACTAACCTAGCGTGTCTTATTGGAGCATACTTTTACACTAAAGTAAAGGTAACGTAGGTTTCGGTTTTGTTATCGTTAGGCACAAAGTAACAACACTGTGGGCTATCTTTGCTGTGCCCACCTCGGGTATCAAAACCCGATTTTTAGCGTCGTAAGCCTGCAGATTTACCGCTGAACCACTGGGTAAGAGGCGTAATATATCTTAATAAGTTATATTTTCAATTAAATAAAATGTTTTTTACAACAGTATGAATACCTCTAGAAGATTTCTGATAAGTATCGTGTTCAAAAAATGTAAATTTCATTTAATAATAAAGCTTTCCTTTACAATTAAAAGCTTTCTTCTTAAGAAACATTGCCAAGCAATCTTTCAGATGTATGGATGACAGACTTCAAAGACTGAAACGATATTTAAATAATTTCTTCAAGATCTCGGACTCATCTAATCTAACAAAATATCCCTATTCATTATCAAGTTCACCAGTTTACTTATTGCAGGAGGAATTCTCCTTCCATTAAGTCACCGTGAGGAGGTTGACGAAGACGGGACACTGACCATTCGCGGTGTCCATAAGCAAGTGGACGAAGGGAAATACACTTGCACAGTACAAAACTCGGAAGGTCAGATAGCCAGTGGCTCAACTTACATCTCAGTGGTAGGTAGGTCACGAGAAGAGAATCATTTCGCTTGTTAATCTATAGTTGACATGGATTTTAGGGAGACATATCTCAGTAAGAATTCTAGAAAGATAAGTTTAGTTGTTCCGCAATCAATAGAAATATACAAGATTATTTCACACTGTTGTTCAGCAATCAATAGAAAACTGTTTAAATATTTCACACTGTTGTTCAGCAATCAATAGAAAACTGTTTAAATATTTCACACTGTTGGCGAGCAATCAATACAAAACTGTTTAAATATTTCACACTGTTGTTCAGCAATCAATAGAAAATTATTTAAATATTTCACACTGTTGTTCAGCAATCAATAGAAAACTGTTTAAATATTTCACACTGTTGTTCAGCAATCAATAGAAAACTGCTTAAGTATTTCACACTGTTGATCAGCAACCAATAGAAAACTGCTTAAGTATTTCACACTGTTGATCAGCAATCAATAGGACGCTACTAAATTATTTCAGCGTATTGGTCAGCGATGAAAATAAAGCTGCTCAATTATTTCCCACTGTTGGCCAGCAATGAATAGAAATAACCTTAATTAGCTACCCACTGTTGGCCAGCAATCACTAGAAAGCTGCTTCATTATTTCACACTGTTGGCCAGCAATGAATATAAATAACCTTAATTAGCTACCCACTGTTGGCCAGCAATCACTAGAAAGCTGCTTCATTATTTCCCACTGTTGGCCAGCAATGAATAGAAATAACCTTAATTAGCTACCCACTGTTGGCCAGCAATCACTAGAAAGCTGCTTCATTATTTCACACTGTTGGTCAGCAATCGGTAGAAAGCTGCTTAATTAGTTATTTATTTCACACTGTTGGTCAGCAATCAGTAAAAAGCTGCTTAATTATTTCACACTGTTGGTCATCAGTGAAGATAAAGCTGCTTAAATAATTATTTATTTCACACTGTTGGTCAGCAATCAGTAAAAAGCAGCTTATTTATTTCACACTGTTGGTCAGCAATCAGTAAAAAGCTGCTTAATTATTTCACAATGTTGGTCAGCAGTGAAGATAAAGCTGCTTAAATAATTATTTCCCACGGGTGATCAGCAATCAATAGAAAACTGCTTAATTATTTCACACTTTTGGTCAGAAATCAAACTTTTCTTAAATTATTAGACATCAGAGAGAAGTGAATAAAACAACCAACTGTTAAGTTTACCTGTTTTTAATCTCAGAAGATAACGTAGTTACCATTTTGGTCTACTAAGTTTTAATACTTATGTTATTTTGTTGTAACTCATGTTGTTTCAATGTTCTACGTCATTATTGAAGTAGCTTCAGAAGTTCATTTTAACGAATTATATACCAGTGAAGTCATGCGACTTCAACAATTAATAAATTAAAATAAGAAACTTTACAACTTACTGTGTACGAGAGTAGTGCTAGAACTCGGTGTTTAAGTAATATTTCTATGTGTTATTCAGCATACGTATGAATCATCTCGTCAAACAATTTCCATATTAATCTTTTAAAGTCGTATTGTAGGGACTTTTTATTTGTTTATTATACGAAACGCCTGATAATTGTTGTTTTTTATTTGTTTATTATACGAAACGTGTGACAGTTGTTATTTGTTTTTGTTTATTATACGAAACGCCTGATAATTGTTGTTTTTTATTTGTTTATTATACGAAACGCCTGATAGTTGTTGTTTTTTACTTGTTTATTATACGAAACGTGTGACAGTTGTTATTTATTTGTTTATTATACGAAACGTCTAATAGTTGTTATTTATAAGTTCAGTAAACAACATGGTTCCTAACTGAAGACATTCACGAACATTTGTTTTCTTTTCTTTTGACGAAAACAATTATTTCTTTTTTTCCAGTGGCTCCAGTAATTGATGAAAACTTTTTTCCGGAAAAAGTAACTGTAACAGAAGGAATGACAGCTCGTCTCTATTGTAGTGTGGCGGAGGGGGAGCCCCCCATAAGAATACACTGGGAGAAGGAAGGAGAAATACTGATTACCCAAGGTCACGTGAATGTAGAAAATTCTCAAGAATATTCAGTGATTATATTCAAGCACGTGACCGCGCGGGAGAATGGGAAGTACACTTGTATCGCCTCCAACAGTGCAGCTTCCGTCAACAAAACCACAGAGTTGACAGTTAATGGTTTGTATTCCTTTACTTTCGTTTCTGAATAAACTTCTCCTAATGGGTGAATGTGTTCCGTAACATAAACTGTAGTGCCCAGAAGTATGTAAATATAATCAGCTAGCTGGTTTCGTAGTTGTCAACCAGACGAATATCAAAATTAGGTATCTGTATTAGACTAATATCAGAATTAGGTATCTGTATTAGACGAATATCAGAATCAGGTATCTGTATTAGACGAATATCAGAATTAGGTATCTGTATTAGACTAATATCAGAATTAGGTATCTGTATTAGACGAATATCAGAATTAGGTATCTGCATTAGACGAATATCAGAATTAGGTAGCTGTATTAGACGAATATCAGAATTAGGTATCTGTATCAGACTAATATCAGAATTAGGTATCTGCATTAGACGAATATCAGAATTAGGTAGCTGTATTAGACGAATATCAGAATTAGGTATCTGTATCAGACTAATATCAGAATTAGGTATCTGCATTAGACTAATATCAGAATTAGGTATCTGTATCAGACGAATATCAGAATTAGGTATCTGTATTAGACGAATATCAGAATTAGGTATCTGTATTAGACTAATATCAGAATTAGGTATCTGTGTTAGACGAATATCAGAATTAGGTATCTGTATTAGACGAATATCAGAATTAGGTATCTGTATTAGACTAATATCAGAATTAGGTATCTGTGTTAGACGAATATCAGAATTAGGTATCTGTATTAGACGAATATCAGAATAAAGTATCTGTATTAGACTGATATCAGAATTAGGTATATGTATCAGACGAATATCAGAATCAGGTATCTGTATTAGACTAATATCAGAATTAGGTATCTGTATTGCGTGAATTGTTTTACGTTATCTTTATGCTGATCTCTGTAATACTAGTTTTTCTATCGTATTAGTTCAATACTGTAATACTAGTTTTTCTATCGTATTAGTTCAATACTGTAATACTAGTTTTTCTTCGTATTAGTTCAATACTGTAATACTAGTTTTTCTATCGTATTAGTTCAATACTGTAATACTAGTTTTTCTATCGTATTAGTTCAATACTGTAATACTAGTTTTTCTATCGTATTAGTTCAATACTGTAATACTAGTTTTTCTATCGTATTAGTTCAATACTGTAATACTAGTTTTTCTATCGTATTAGTTCAATACTGTAATACTAGTTTTTCTATCGTATTAGTTCGATACCGCTTATTTTTCTTATAGTTTTACTTATTTACTGCCAGATTACTTTATCGTATCATTTACTAGCTGGAGTACTCGAACCCTGGACGTTTGTAACAACTATGGGAAACATAATAAACAATAAAAATACATCAGGTACCAATACTGAAAAGAAAGACATACTGTTTTCAAGAATTCTATCAATATGAAATTAGATGGGGGGGGGGTCCTCATGTCATCCTGTATCACTGGGTCATGTGTCAAGTTTGGTGCTGATTAATCAAGAAATGAGGAAACATATAAGGAACAGTTACACACAAATATTGACGTATATTTACACAGAAGATGGGGGTTCAACCCCTCCCCCTCATGACCTTCCTAACATCATCCGATATCAGCATGTCAGGTTTGGTTTGATTGATCAAGAAATGTGGAAACGTATAAGGAACAGCTAAGAAATGATAGACATACGACTGTGTATAGTAGATGTATTGCCATGTTTACTTATCATATCACTTATGTATTGCTATGTTCACTTATCGTATCACTTATGTATTGTTATGTTTACTTATCCTATCACTTATGTACCACCAAGTATTCTTATAATGTTTTTTTTATGTGTTGATAATATTTTGTGTTTATTGAATTTTTGTTTGTTGTGAAGTTACTGATATACTACATTGTTATTAGTTCCTTATCATTAACAATACCAAATGGTAAATATCAGCCCATCTATTTTGAAATCCGAAAAATACCGACTGAAATACTAGTTGTTTTTGGTGAAAAAATATTTCAATCACCACAAACATACATGTTCAGTAAATCATGAATCTGGCGAAAGGCCATGATTCCACTACACGGCGCGCTAATAGTCCGTTGTGTAACTTTGCGCTTAAAAAAATAAAAACAGCAGCAGTAAATTATTCTTTTACCTTTACCAACCGTACATTTTACCAAGAGTATTTTATACAAGACAACCGTACATTTTACCATGAATATTTTATACATGACAACCGTACATTTTACCATGAATATTTTATACATGACAACCGTACATTTTACCATGAATATTTTATACAAGACAACCGTACATTTTACCAAGAGTATTTTCTACAAGACAACCGTACATTTTATCATGAGTATTTTCTACAAGACAACCGTACATTTTACCATGAGTATTTTATACAAGACAACCGTACATTTTACCATGAGTATTTTATACATGACAACGTACATTTTACCATGAGTATTTTATACAAGACAACCGTACATTTTACCATGAGTATTGTCATGTATAAAAATGAGTATTTTATACAAGACAAACGTACATTTTACAATGAGTATTTTATACATGACAACGGTACATTTTACAATGAGTATTTTCTACAAGACAACCGTACATTTAACTATGAGTCTTTTCTACAAGACAACCGTACATTTTACCATCAGTATTTTTTAGAAGACAACCGTACATTTTACAATGAGTATTTTCTACAAGACAACGGTACATTTTACAATGAGTATTTTCTACAAGACAACCGTACATTTTACCATGAGTATTTTATACAAGACAACCGTACATTTTACCATGAGTATTTTATACATGACAACCGTACATTTTACCAATGAGTATTTTCTACAAGACAACCGTACATTTTAGTACCAATAGTTTGACACTAGTTGAAAAGAATAAGTAAAAATATTGAGGAAGAAATAAGTAATGTTCATGAAAATTTATGTTTCTTCATACTCAGTGCCACCTAGATGGATAATTTCTCCGACCAACAAGTCAGCGGTCGAAGGTCAAAACGTTTATTTAGACTGCTCAGCTAGTGGTTTGCCACGACCTGTTATAACCTGGAGAAAAGCCAGAGGTGATAGCAACATTGAGGGTTTTCGTTTTCTTGTTATTTGTATTTAAAAAAAAAGAAAGTCTAACTTGTTAAAGTATACAGAGAACAACTAGATAAATAATGTAATAGGCCTAATTCTAATATCTTATGGAAAGTATAGTTACTTATAATCATGCTTCGCTAGCTGGTAAAGTCGATAACACCATAAAATCAGTTTTCTACTTATACTCTGTAACTTTATTTATTGTGCACCAAAGTTAGTTGTAATTAAAATAAAGAAACTTCATAATGAATGCATTTAATCAACGATTACTCACTGTGTATATTTAAACTTGTGTAACACTCGTACAGAGTGAATATATAAGCTTGTGTAACACTCGTATACATTAAATATGTACATTTCTAGAACATCTTCACACATTCAATATGTAAACTTGTGTAATACCCGTACATATTAAATATGTAAATTTCTGTAACATCTTCACACATTCAATATGTAAACTTGTGTAACACCCTTACCCAGAGAATATGTAAGCTTGAGAAACGTCCGTACAGAGTGAATAAATAAACTTGTGTAACGGGTAAACATGGATAATGTGTATATGGTGAAGGTGTAAACTTGTGTAACGTGTATATGGAGAAGGTGTAAGCTTGTGTAACGGGTAAACAAGGATAATGTGTATATGGTAAAGGTGTAAACTTGTGTAACGTGTAAATATGGATAATGTGTATATGGTGAAGGTGTAAACTTGTGTAACGTGTAAACATGGATAATGTGTATATGGTGAAGGTGTAAGCTTGTGTAACGGGTAAACAAGAATAATGTGTATATGGTGAACGTGTAAGCTTGTGTAACGGGTAAACATGGATAATGTGTATATGGTGAAGGTGTAAACTTGTATAACGGGTAAACATGGAACATGGATAATGTGTATATGGTGAAGGTGTAAACTTGTGTAACGAGTAAACATGGATAATGTGTATATGGTGAACGTGTAAGTTTGTGTAACGGGTAAACATGGATAATGTGTATATGGTGAAGGTGTAAACTTGTATAACGGGTAAACATGGATAATGTGTATATGGTGAAGGTGTAAACTTGTGTAACCTGTAAACATAGATAATGTGTATATGGGGAAGGTGTAAACTTGTGTAACGGGTAAACATGGATAATGTGTATATGGTGAAGGTGTAAACTTGTGTAACGGGTAAACATGGATAATGTGTATATGGTGAAGGTGTAAGCTTGTGTAACGGGTAAACATGGATAATGTGTATATGGTGAAGGTGTAAGCTTGTGTAA